ACATGGAGCCTTGGCCGTCCCAGAGAAGAGGAGGGAGTCGGTGATTCCTGCAGGTCCCTGGTGCCCAGCGGAGACTGGGGCTGGGGTGTCAGACTCCAAGGGGACAGTGTGGATTGAGTTGGGTGATTCACGGCCCTCACTACTTCCTGCCATTACAGCCACTAGCCCCAGGCGTCAGTGGGTCTCCTGCTTCCACACGATGGCTGAGTCAGAGCCCACGAGGCCCCTCCTCCACCCACCTGGGGGCCCAGGATCCTGCTCTGAGTGTCAGGCGCACAGGGAGAGTTTGGCGGTGAACTGGGAGATCCTGGAGGGGTGACTCCATGTAAGAAGCTGAGAAGACTCATCAGGGAGTGAAAGCTCTGATCTCTAGAATAGCATCTATATACAAAAAGTGCCCAATAGCTGTTTTTCAGTGAAGGAAGGAAGGAAGAAATGAAGGAAGGAATGCATGAAAACCTTGGATTCAGTGTGATCGCTGTTTCATCTCAGAAATGTCATTACTCTTCTCTGAGCCTGACTTAACTTCACTGGAAAGTGGAGGGGCTGGATGAATGGCCCCCAGGGACCCTTCCAGCTTTAAGTTGAGGATTCTAGAGAGCAGACGGGACCGGCCCTGTGGTGCTCAGGGGTGCTGGGCATGGAGAAAGGCCACAGTGGAGAGTCCAGAGAGCTGAGCTCTGCAGGTCCTCCCACCCTCCCTCCCTGGCTGCCCCAGGTAAGCTCAGGCACTAACTGTGTGTGTATGTTGGGGGCTGTTCCTCCAGAGTGGAAGGGCCCACAGCTGGTGTCAGCAATGATGGGGACAGCCCAGAAGCCACTCCCACAGGTTACAAGGCCCGACGCAGGCGGGTTCCACGTCCCGATGGCACCAAGACTCACCTGGTCCCAGGTAGCTTATCCTCATGGGCATCAAACGACTCCCTCGACCAGAGTCATTCCCTCCACCACCCTGCTTACCCACCAATTCATAAATAGTCCATGCTGGGGTCTCCAACTAAAGGCCGAAGGGTCAGATCTGACTTCCAAGTGAGTTAGTTTGGCTTGACCCATGGTGTTCTGTTTTTAAGGAATATTGCATTTTAATGCATCTGCCAAAGCAGGCTGCCTTCCCTTTGTCATAGCTGCCACTCCTCCCTCTCGTCTTGCACTTGGTAGTGTCACACATTCATGTTATCCTCTGACCCCCGAAGTCATCTGAGTTTGGAAACTGAGCTAGTTCAGCAACCTGTGAGCAGGGAGACGAGTGGGGAGGATGGAACCCTGGATGATCTGAGGTTGGAAGCGGTCTTGAAATCATGAAGGGCTCATTTTCAGACCTGCCCCAATATCATTTCTTCAGGCCTTCCCTGGCCAGCCTACTCAAAACAGCACCCCGTCTGCTCTGCCCCTTACCCTGCTCTGTCGTCATCACTTCCTGACACCCCAGTCTCTAGCCTCCCAGTCTATTCCCTGTCCCCCCAGCTACTGTCTGTGCCCCAAGAGGGCAGCGACTTGGTTTGTCTTATTTCACTGCTACATCCCCAGTGCCAAGAATAATGGCTGGTGAAAGGTAGGTGCTCAAAAAAATTGTTGAAGAATGAGGAGAATGAGGTATCTGGACATGGTAGCGCCAACCCAGAACCTCCCAGCTACAGTTTCCCTGGGTTGTTCCTGGACATTCTGGAGTCACGCTAGAGTCCTACGGTCACCCAGTGGCTGGCAGCTCTCTTCCCCTGCATGGTGCTGTGTTTGAGGTTCACCCATCCGTGTTCTACCTGCCAGAGGGGAGAGGGGCTGGGATGTCTTCCAGCCCCCCCCGCTCCTCCCCACCCCTCCTCCCCACCCCTCCTCCTCCCTACCCCTGCTCCCCAGTCCGGTCTGGAATCCCAAGTTCAAACAGACCACAGCCTAGATGTGCAGGATGTACCTTTTGCAGGTTGTGGGCAGGGCAGGGGCCCGGGCAGGTCATGGTGTCTTAGGTGTTCTCAGAAACGAAGCAAAGAGGAAGGCTGCAATCTGCCAAGGGTGGGCAGGGAGGCCGAGAGCAGGAAACTCTTCTTATTTTTTTTCCTCCAAGAGAGACTTTCTTTTTTTCAACAATAAAAATTTTTGGTCACAAACTGTGTCAACACGCCACAGAAGCATGAGGAAGAAGGTAAAAAGGACACGACATTCTACCTCCTGGAAATCTAGTCCACAACACGAGCCTGGCTAGAATCAGATGGCCAGGGCTCAAATCCTGGCTTGACCACTTGCTAGTGACAGACCCTAACTTCTTGGTGCCTTGATTTCTTCATCTGTGAAATGGGGATTCTCTGGTGTTCCTCTTAGCCTCTCTGCCCACTCCCTGCTATTTCCTCCTTCTTTCCTCCAGCTCTGAGAATATTTCTTTTTAGGACACCATGACCTAAAAGGGCCCTTGCCCTGCCCACAGCCCACAAAGAGTACATTCTGCACGCCCAGGCTATGGTCTGTTTGAACTTGGGATTCTGGTTTAATCGGTACCTGTCACTCAGTATTGTTGTAAGGATTAGATGAGTGAATCCATGGAAGGGGCTTAGAACAGTGCCTGGTACATGGCGAAGGCTGTGTATGTGTTTGTTAACATCTCACCATCATCTTCACCATCGTCATCACTGCCATCATCATCATGGTTATCATCATCACCTTTGCAGACAGCCATTTATACACCAACCTGCATTCCTCCTTCTTTCTCATCTGTTCATTCACCTATCCATCTGTCCATCCATCCATCCACCCTCCCACCCATCCATCCATCCATCCATCCATCCATCCTTCCACCCTCCCACCCATCCATCCATCCATCCATCCATCCATCCTTCTGTAATGGGAACATACCCATGTGCTCTTCAGGAACCTGCTTTTTACACTCCACATTACATTACGTATAAACTAAATGGCTCAGGAACTGGTTAATGCGGAGGGGTGTGGGTGGTGGAAATGAAACCATCACGCATCCCATGCTGTTTTGCTGGGTTCTGTATCCATGGGGCAAATCTAGACTCTGCCTTGGTGCCTTTGGGTGTAACGAACTTTGCAGATCAGGAACATGCATAATCAGGTACATTGGCAGTAAGAAAGATCATTCCAGGAAAGTCTTCCAAATCAAAAATAACAAGATAAATGTTTATCCCATTTTTTATGTTTCCCTTCTCCCTGACCAGGCTGGGCATTTCTGGAGGTAGGGACTGTGTCCTCTCCTGCCCCATCAGATTGACAGTTGCCCTAGGCAAGGGGTGTTTCTCCTCTCTCTCTCTTTGCCATCCTTCTACCCCAGACCTGTGGATGTGGGTGTTCTGGTTGTGGGTCCACTCTGTGCAGTGACTGCATGGCTGAGAAGGGCCATCATGGGATTCCTGAGGGAACTCTCCTCCTTGTCACCCACCGGTGCCCAATATAGAGGAAGCATGTCCCCTGTAATTACTGGTCTCTACCCAGGGGCCCAATAGACATTTCACGCCTGACAGATCCAAAATAGAATGTCTGGAACCCCTGCCCAACCTGCCCACCCCCCGCTTTCCCCATCTTTCTGAGGACAACTCCATCCTTCTAGTTGCTGGGGTTCAACCACTCCAGTCATCCTTGACCCCTCTCTTTCTACCACACCCACATCCAATCCATCAGCAAACCTCAATTCTGTCTTCAAGATACGTTCTGAATCCAACCACTTCTCACCACCTTCACTGTTACCCCAGGACAAAGCCACCGTCATTTCTGGCCTGGATGAGGGGGACGAGCATCCTGACTCTGTCTGATGTTACCCGTACTTGACTTATGTAACTTTACTTATCCTCCGTCTCCCTGGAATACAAATGCTGTCAGAGCAGGGACTGTGGTCTGTTTTGCTCAGAGTTGTGTCGCCATCGCTTAATAGGGTGCCTAACAGAGTAGGTGCTCAACGAATGTTTGTCGAGTGAATGAATGAAATTCCACAAACATCCTGAGAACAGGTGGGAGCCAGTGCTTTCCAGAGCTGAAAGGAGGGGACTTTTCAGAAACAAATTAGGGGGAGGGTATAGCTCAGTGGAAAAGTGCATGCTTAGCAGGCATGAGGTCCTGGGTTCAATCCGCACTACCTCCATTGAAAAAAAACCCTAATTACCTCCTCCCAAAATAAAAAAATATTTTAATAGGGACTGAAAAAACAAAAAGAAATCAGTCTTTCCTAGCCCACTGTTCTGAGCTCCTTTTCAAGTTCCCTCCCCACTGGCTGTCCAAGGATACTGACATGGGGTGGCTTTTGCCATCTCTGGAGTTGGGGGACAAAGGCACAACCTCACCCCCTGAGGGGTGGCACAGTGTGGTGAGTCAGCAGACCTGCCTGTGGCTCCCCCACTGACCAGCAGTGGGATCGGCAGCCGGGGTTCTCCTGTGACATGAGGGTACCGGCAGTGGTTGCCCGTGTTTCTTCTAGTGAGTATTACGTGCCAGGCACTGTGCTGAACCTCCTACTGGGAGGCCACACAATCTGCACATCAATCCAATGGAACAGGTACTACTGCTACGACTGCTGTCTCACACACGGGGAAACGGAACCTCAGAGAGGCGGAGTAACTTGCCAAGATCGTAGGATTTTAGAGGCAGAGCTGGGATTCGAACCCAGGCAGTCTGACTGCACCTTGGTTTATGTGCTAGCTGATCGCTTAACATGTGAGATAAGATCTGCGAACCGCTTAGCCAGCATGTAGTTAGCCCTCAGAAAACACTGACATCGTTACCGTGTGGATTCAGGCACTGAGAATCTGAGGATAGAGGCAGAACTGCAGAAAGGGGGACAGGGGCTGCGGGGGAGCTTGGTCGCCTTCTGTTGGCAGCTGAGCTCTGCTCCACCAGGGGCCCCAGTTGAAGCCCCCCCTTCCCCATCCTCCGAGAGGCCCTGGGTACCTCCTCCCTTATCCTCTTCGATTGACAGGCCTGAGTGAGGAGGGATGGGCATGGAGCCAGGAGGTGGGGACGTGGCTCAGGCAGGCTAATCAAATCATAGGGTGAAATTAAAAGGGAGGAGGAAGGCACCGGCTCATCCGAACTCACTCTCCTTCCTGGCAACGAGGTGCCGGGGAGAGCAGCTGGGGAGCCAGGGATCCTGGAGATTGAGAGCCGGGGGGACAGGATGGCCCCGCAGAGAGCTGTGCAGCTGTCCCTGAAGAAGCCCACCTATGCTGTGTGTGTGGTGGGAGTCGAAACATATGTGGATGTTTACAGGTGAGAACTGAGAAGCACCCACCTGGCTGCAGAGGGCTGGGCTGGAACGGAGGACCTGAGGCAAGGGGTGGGCACTGGGTGGACGAAATCAGACACTTTTGAGGAAGCTGGCAGGAGGCTGTTTTGAGGAAGCAGAGCAGGCGGATTTGGCTGTAGCACCTGGGAGGGTGGGACGAGGATATCAGGTCCACCTTGGGGCTCTGGCTTCTGGCACGGGGAGGGGGCAAGTCTTTGGCCTCAAATCCTGGGATGAGGGTTCCAGTTGTGAGCCGTGGGACCAGGCTTTGGGGTCTGGGCTCTGAATTCTGATGTCCAAGCGGAACTCGTATGGAGCATCAAAATGAATTGTTGCTCAAAACAGGGGACAGGACTGGGCCTCCCCTGATTTGCCAACAAACTGATTTACCAACAAACTGATTTGTTTCAGTTTCTTGCCAACAACCCATCTCTCTGAGGGGGAGGGGTGGTGTGTGTGGCAGCTTGATCATCGGAGGCCAGACATCGGAGGCGACTGGGATCAGGAGGGAGTGGTTAGGGAACAATTCAATGAATTAATAAAGTAAAAGGCTGGGAACCAGCCTGGGGCTTGATGGTGATGACAGCGGTGACGGTGGCAATGATGACATCTGAGGGGCAGTGTGAGCGTCAGCTTCTCCCATGGGCCTAGAGTCTCCCTGTCCCGGCCCCAGCCTCAGGTTCCCCAGCTGGCCACTGACGGAGTTGGGCTTGAGGATCTCTGGGGGCCTTTCTGGCTCTGACACACTGTCTACGAACTCCGTCATTACTGGAACAGGTGGGGCCAGAGCCCTAGCGGATGGGGGGTGGGTCAGGAGGGGAGCCTTCCTCCCAGAGGAGGTGGGGGCTGAGCCTCTCCTTCCTCCCCTCCCACCCCCATTGGCCCCCTTGGGTCTCAGTCCCTGCGCTCTCCCAGTCTGGTTAATGAACTCTGGGCCCAGCTTCACCTGGCTTCAGGTGAGCCTCTGCCCCAGAAGGCCTCCCTGCCCCTCTCTCGGGCAGTGGCCTGGGGCCGAGGAGGGACAGGGACAGCCAGGAGCCCTGGAGGCTCTAAGTCATCCTGGGGGCCCTGATGTGGGGCAGGTTCCCTTGCATCTGGGTGACCAGCAGATCCCATTTTCTCCTGCCCTTTTAACACAAGGTTGCCAGACTTAGCAAACGAAAATACAGGATGCCCAGTTAAGCTTCCACTTCAGATTTAAAAAAAACATTTTTTTTTTAGTAGTTGCATGGGACATACTTGTATTTAGAAAAAAATGGCTGTTTAGCTGAAATTCAAATTTAGCTAGGCACCCTGTACTTTATTTGGCAACTCTGCTTCAACACCGAGAGCAGAGAAGGGGTCTCTAATGAGCCCCTAGCTTCCCAGTTCCAGACCCCTGTCCTCACCCCAGAGGATGTCTGTCTCTGGAAGGTCATTTCAGAACCCCAGGCCCTGGGCTGAGGTTCTGCTGTCTAAGGCCAGAAGCACTTGACTAGTCACTGGTCCTCCAAGGGCCTCGTTTCCTCCTCTGAGCTCTGACAGGATGACCCGAGTCGCCTCTGCAGTTCAGGGTGGCGGTAGGGCCCCCACACTCTGAGGTTGGACGGACTCAGTTTCCTCATCCCAGCCTTGTTCGTAGCTGTGTGACCCTGGGCAAGCTACCCTACTTCTCTGAGACTCTTTCCTCATCTGACAAGCCGGGCAGCAATAACATTGATGTTAATGGGTTGGGGCAGGAGAAATAGGAGCGTACCTGTGCCGGGCCCCTTGCTCCTCGGGTGCCGGGGAAGTGGGAGGTGCTTACAGCTCTGACTCCCCAGCTTCTTGAGTTCTGTTTCCCCCACTATCTGTTCCTCCCATCTCACAGGGTGGGGTAGAGGACAGATCAGGGGATGTGTAGTGGGAACATGGGGGCGATGCTGTCTGTAAATCTTCTTTGAGATCACCAGGCACCTTGGTATCCTCAGGTATGGGCCCCGGCCCAGGTGAGGGGCACAGGGAAGTTGCCTGATTGTCCGAAGCTTCTGTGCCCTGGTTGATTCTGGGGGGAGGGAGCTGCTCGGGTCCTGAGTGAGCACCAGTGAGAGACCTTCAGGAACCTTCACCCTGGATATTGGTGGTGACTAGGGTCATAGCCACGGAGAGTCGCTAAATTAGAAAACTGAATTTTTCTGCAGCAAGTTGGTTTTAAAGTAGACCTAAAGAAGAACTTCCTGCCAGGGAAGTCTTTGATAGGTGGAGAAAGGCAACGTGGAATTGTCAAGAGAGGTGGAAGCGGGGGGGGGGGGCCATGAATGGTCAACCTGGGGTAGTTTTAAGGGGAGCCTGAAGCTAACTCCGGGCCTGGGCTGGCTTGGAGGGAGGGGCTACACCTGATGGTGACCCTGGGGCTTCCCCACCCTCATTGCCAGGTGACTGGCTCCAGCTGAGGACAAACAAGGGCCTTCTGTTTGGCTTTGCTGGTTGAAGGGGGAAGCCCCCCCAACCAAAGAGGAGGTGTACCAGTCGCCTGAGCTGCCCAGAGTCTGAGCCCTCCAGGTTCAGTAGAGATGGGTGTGTAAGGGTGACATCACAGGAAGTAATTAATTCCCCCATGTGCTCTGTCGACTGGTTATTTGGAGAAATATTTGTACTGGGGTAATTGTGTGCCCCAGGGTGTCCCAGCCCAAGGAACCCTTAGAAATCCTCTGACCCAGCATGTGCCGCAGATCCTACACTCATCCCAGCGGGCTAGCTCACCACCGTGACCCTTCGGGTCTGGCCGGATGGCCTTGGCTGTCCCTGTTCTTCCCTGGAGGTGGCCCCCAGAGGACTCATGCCAAAAATGAGGGGGTGTGATGTGAGGAATCCATTAATGATCCAGCCTAGGCTCCCTGTCTGCCCAGGGGCCAGAATCAGAGCTGGAGGCCAAAATGAGTGTTTATTCTTGGGGGTGGAGGAAAAGGCTGGCGGGGTGGGGCTGGGGATGTTCTCCTGGAGTTTTTCTAAGTCTCCCCCAAGCCCAGCAAAAGCATCAAAGCAGAAGAGACTCTTTAGATCCCAGATTGTTGGGATTTGAGGCTCACAGAGAAAGGAGTGTCTGTGGGGCCTCTCAGACAAGCGGGAGAGAGGACCAGGCCACTTCCTTTTTCTGGGGTTACCTGTATTTCAAGACACAAAAATACCCAAACAGAGTTATAAAACTTGGGTATATATATATTATATATATATATAATATATATATATATATATATATATATATATAATATACACTACAATATATATATGTATATATATATTATATATATATATATATATATATATATATATATATATATATATATATACACACACATATATATATGTATGTATTCTTAATGTTTATGTTGAGTAAATTAATGGTTTTAGCTTGCACAGAAGGACAATGAAGCATAATTGTGCTTCTCATGGAATAATTATAGGATTGATGCCGATACTAATTCACAATGACTGACAGGCTCCGAGAGCCCGGCTGGGACCTGGGTTTAAAGCCGGATGAGGACCTCAGCTCCTCCCAGTTCCATTCTGCTGCTGCACCACATTCCTTTATTGGAAGTAATGTTGAAGTTTAAATTTGAGGGTTCTTGGAGAATGTGAAACGGGGGTCCCGCATAAGATCCACGGAGCTATGAGAGGTTGGAGGTCGCAGAATCTGGATGTGAAACGGTGGAGTTAGTGAGATCTTGATGTGTAAAATATTAGCATCAGGGAGGGCATCAGAGGTCAGCCTCCTCTTAAGTCTACAGATGTCCTCACCTCCCTGGTCCCCATTGCCACCTCCTGTTTTGAGATCTGGGAATCCCTCATCAGTCTCTCTTTCCTCCCCATTTCTGGCCCTGTAGCCCCTCCCCTGCCCCAGCCTTCTCTTTCCCATCAGTTTGGTCTTAGAATCTCTCCTCCTCCTCCACTGCACTGACTTCTCATCCCTCTCCTGTTCCCATCACTTCCAACCCCCACTTCTCTCTCTTCCACCCCAGCCCTCTCCCTGCTTTTCTCAGTGGTCCCAGGGGGCCAGCCGATGGGCCCTGAGAAAAGACATGAGATACAGGGAATGGAATTATGGTCGTTTGCCCGTGATGCAGATTCCTTCTTGATCCCAAAATGCTTTCCCTATGATGTGTTGTCCTCTCCTTTGCTCTGTCCAGAGAAGCTTCCACTCCCTTTGCTGTGGCTTCTAAGCAGCTGTTCAGCTCTGACAAGTGGTCCTGATGCTCAAAGATATGTGGAGGGTGGGATGTTGGGCTGGAAGGAACTGGCAAATCCACACCCAGCCAAGGATATCAGCCACCTGGGGAACCCAGGAGGGGTGCTCAGCTGTGGGCTGAGAGCGGTGGGGGGATTCCAAATGCTGCTGCCGAGGGGCCGGTACCAAGGAGGCTGGGATCTGCTGGAACTTGATAGGGGCCTGGCCTCTTAGCAGGTACAGACCTGTGATGGGCCCCCAAATGCACCCTGGGCCACAGAACAGAGAACTAGGTCACCCTGCATTTGAGTCCAAGGCTACTTAAAGCCCTGCCAAGTGCTTCTCCATCATACCTTTCCAGCCACGTTTATGCCCCCTCCTCCCCGCACCTGGCTCTCTGTTGCCATGCTGGGAGGAGTGGGCAAAGGAAAGGCCAGAAATTCCTCAGTAGGATCCTGCAGAAGGTATGGTCTGAGCCAGGCTGCCAGGCATAGAGGAAGAGGGGGCTGGGGTTTCTGGACCTGGGTGAGGAGGAAGGAAGGCTGGGCACTGTCCCGACAGCCCCAGAAGACGATGAATTGGGGTGGGACCGTCTGAGAGTCAGTTCAGTGACTGCTAAGAACGGGATGGTTGGTAGTTATAACCACCAGCTGGGGATTAGGCTGGTTCTTGCAGGCTGTGTGACCTTGGGCCAGTTACTTAGCCTCTCTGAGCCTGTTTCCTCCCATGCTAGATGGGGATACTCTCATCTGTCGGCTGTACCTGTGAAATTGGCCCCTGTTATACAGGTGAGAAATTACC